GTCCAATCCCCTGGGGAGGAGGCCTAAGCCAGCAGGTGGTCATCCCCTGAGGGGTCCCAGACTGCGAGAGGGCACAGGCCGGGCTGACCCCCCCCCCCCCCCCCCCCCCCCCCCCGCGCCAGCTGTAAAAAGTCCTCTCTGTTAGACAGCTCCTGCTTGGGAGGGAGAGGGCCCAAAGTGGGCAAAGTGGCCAGACGGCCTGTCCTGGGCATTGGCACCTAACCTGAGCACAGGCTCAAGGCAGCGGAAAGGTCGTATCGCCAAGGCCTGCCCTTCAGTGACCTCGGCAAAGTGCGGAGGCGCAGAGCCCCTGTAAACTTTTACTTTTCACAAATTGATATATCGCTGAGCCCAGAATGAGGCCAGTCTGGGGGAGGGGAGGGTCCTGACAATCCAGGAGGCTTTCTCCTGTGCCCACAGGGTTTGGGCAGGCAGGGTGCCAACTGACAGGGTGCCAAGCTGGGGACCCTTGGGGTACAGGCCTGGGATACCCACCCAGGTCCTCTTCTCCCACAGGGCCACTCCTAGGGTGACCGCAGCACTTTCCTGAACTCGCTCCTTTTTTTCCAGCCTCAACAGCAAAAGGGAACAAGCTACTAATCTTTCGTCCTCTGGGGGTCTCTTGTGCGCTTGCATTTTGCTCATTCAAGTAGTGACAAGGGAAAATAAACATATCCATTCCTGACCATGTGCCAGCATCTCCACATGGGGAAATGCACAGATGCTTTGCATGGAGTTCCTGCACGCCCAGGCCCCCTTTCTGCAGAACTAAAACACCCAAGTACCCTTGAAGTGACAGTAAACACGGCGTACATTTAACCATCACGTACATTCACGCAAAATGCCAACACGCACCGTACAGCAACCCTTGCCAGATCTCATAAACAGATCGCTTTGTGCCCCGGATCCTGAGGAAGTTCAGACACCCTCTCTCAAGAAATACAGCGGAGCCTTTGCTATAAGATTCCAGGTCCGGAACCTCCGCCTGTTGCTGACATGTCACGGCTGCCCGGGATAAAAAAAAAAAAAGAAAAAGCAGGACATCTTGGACTTGATTCAAATGTCAACACTAAGCAAGTGCAGGAATTCAGTTGATTCCAGGTAACTAACTTCTCTACCCGGTCCCTTCCGCACCCTGTCTGTCCCCAGTGTAAACACCACACAAAGTGAGTCTGTCGACCCCCTCCCAGGGGCGCTGGCCTCCCGCGGTCCCTTGGCGGCCTTTCCCCCCAGAGCTCACAGGGTAAAAGCGGCGGAGCGGGACCAGAGGTGCGGGCCCCAGCCTCCGGTAGGCACCCGCCGGCTGGAGAACTTTGAGAAGCGCCCCAAACTGCTCGCTGCTTCCGACCTCGGCCATTTCCCTGCTCTTCTCACAAAGAAGGGGTGCAGAGCAAGCCGTCGCCACCTGCCGCCGGATCCCAGGGCGCTGCCTCTGGCACCCCGAGGGAAGGCAGGCCAATGGAAAGAGGGCAGAGGTTCACACCCCCACCCCCAATCGCCCATCGCCTCGCTGCGCTGCCCGGAGGTGGATCCGCAGCCCCAGGGAACAG